ACTCTCCCACTGTTGACAACATCTAGTTGGTAGAGATATTATGATGAATCATGATAATTGGATCTGATGAGCAGAAAGTAGCAAGTAACTTAGGTGTCTTAATTAGACACATGCATTGGACTAGGGATCAGCAAACTACAGTCCAGTGGTCAAATCTGACCTGCTCCCTGTTTTGTAAAGTTTTACTGAAATACAGGCACAATATTAACTATGGTTGCTGTCTTGCTATAATGTCAGAGTTGCACAAAAGAGACCGTAAGGCACACAAAGCCTAAAATATTTACTATCTGGTTCTTTAAAGGAAAAAGTTTTCGAGAATTCTATCCTAGAGTAAAAGGTGGGAGAGTGACAGGAGCTGAGGACAGACAGGAAAGTTGATTGTTAAGCAAAAAGGGATTGATAAGCAAAAACAACTTCATCTTCCTCTTCCTCAAACTATGGGGAATTAATGAAGAATTCTTTCCAGGGGTGTGTTATTTTTAGGAAGATCATCTTTCTTTTCTTTTCTTTTCTTTTTTTAAGACAGCATCTCACTCTGCCACCCAGGTTGGAGTGTGCAGAGGCACAATTGTGGCTTATTGCAGCAAATTCCTGGGCTCAAGCCATCCTACTTCAGCTTCCTGAGTAGCTGAGACTACAGAAGCGTGCCACCATACCCACCTAATTTTTAGATTTTTTTTTTTTTTTTTTTTAAGCGTTAGGTCTTGCTACATTGCCCAAAATGGTCTTGAACTCCTGGCTTCAAGCAATCCTCCCACCTCGGCCTCCCAAAGCACTAGTATTACAGGCATGAGCCACCGTGCCAAGATTCTTTTTTGTGTAATGCCTCAACTGTACAATGCCCTCACAATCAGGCATTTTTAAAGCAAAAGTAGAATTATGCCTGGTTGATTGAATAAATGAGTAAATAATAAATACATTCTAAACAGTGAGGGCAGCTTGAGGAAGCTTATGTCATACATGCTTCAGTTCCTCAGACCATATGGTCAAAAATATTTATTGAGTTCCTATGTCATATCTTGCACTAATCTAAGAACCTGGAATAAGCGTATTAATAGATAAAAGGTCCTGAATCCAGGAGAAGTTCACAGCCTAGAGAAAAAGCAGATGAATAAACATTTACACAATTATAATACTATATATTAAATGTATTAAGAATATATGTCAAAGTTTTAACAGTGATTGTCTCTGAGTGAGTGAGGTTATAACTAGTCCTTATTCTTTTTCATCTACTTATTTTTGATATTTGTGTAAATGTATTTATAATAGAATTTTTTATATATAGAGAGAAAATTTATATAGAGAGAGCCAAGGAAAACATAACAGCACTAAGGGATTAGCAGAAATACTGCAGCCTAAGTAGGCGATGGCTTCAATTAGCATGCTGTTGTGACTTTCTCTAGCAAATGTTCCATAGCCTTGGATTGGGAAATTCAACTTTTGAAATGCCCTATAATCTAGCCCACCTCTAAATCCTTCTTTTGGACTTCAGTATAATCGAGGTTGCTAGAACGGGGCAAAGCTAGTAAGATGGACTTGCGCTTGAATCCTATGGATCTCCTTATGTGCCCCTGGATTAATTAGATTGAATCTAAAGTGATGAGCAAATGCCACTGGGGAAAGAATGAGGGGGCACGTCAATGAATAGCTACCAATAAAGTGCAGAGAGACCCAATGTAGTGGCTCACAACTGTAATCCCTACACTTTGGGAGGTGGAAGCTGGAGGATGACTTGAAGCCAGGCATTTGAGGCTGCAGTGAGCCATGATTGGGCCACTGCCCTCCAGCCTGGGGAACAGAGCGAGATTCTGTCTGTATAAAAATAAAAAAATAATAAATAAAAATAAAGGATCTGGGATATGTTCTCTTTAAATAAAGTATGGAGGAAAGTTGGTGGATATTTTGCCTGAATATATGATACAGAGAAAATATCATTCCATAAAGAAACATTTAAAATAAACTGAATAGCCAGATAGTATTGTCCACTCAAGTGAGAAATTGTTATTACAAAATGCCATAGATTCAGATATTTTAGCATCCTTATCCTTTATTTTTTGATACACACACAAATAAGTCACCTTCTAAAGGGTATACAGAATGGCATCTTATAACTTCCTATGAAGATAAAGCCATCAGTCCAGTGGAAGTATTCTAAAATTAGATGCGTCTTACAATTAATGGTGTCTGAGATTTGATGAAATATGGTGTCTCTCCCTGGGCCCAAGTGTAGACTTAGTTGGTGCAGTTGTACATCCAGTGCAGCACCAGGGATTCCAGAAAACCAGATGTAGTTTATTGAAGATGACCCCAGATAGAGAATACATTCTTATGGGATAGAAAATAACATCTCACTAATGAATTCTATATTTTGCTGTGGCAATGTACTGTTAAGTTATTTTATGTTAGACACCCCTGAGCGAATGTAAGTGAGTCGTATTCCCAGTGAGGCACCCTTTCCTCTTGGGAGTGGGGGAAGGGCACTGCAGGGGGAGATCTTTTTTCACTAACAATGGAGCTCTTGTTGGTGGCACCAAATGCTGCAGCAGTTTTAATACCTTAGTTAAAATCTGGTAGTTGTTTTTTCCTTTTAATACAAGAAGAAACTTCTGCTAGAGCTAGTGTGAGTCATACACCATAAACATTCAGTGCTCAAATCCCTGTGGGTTTTGAATGCCAAATAACACTGTATACTTACATTTTTAAAAACTGCATCGTAGAATGCTAGAAAACACATGTTAAGCTCTCTAGTATTAAGTAACGCTGTGGTATTTTTTAAAAAATACGTACCATAAAGTAAACCATTCATAAATTCCAGTGTAATGCCAGTTATGTTAAAATCTTGACTACGTCATTTAATTCTCATGCATAATCCTGTTTCATTGTTTTAACCCAATAATCAAAAAAGAAAAAAAGATTGAGGGAAAATGTATTCTAAAGTACGTGCATACACACAAATATTCACATGTATTTACATAACCACCTACTTAACAGATCTGGCCTCATTAAAAACACTGAGATTTCCAGTAAATCAAAATTGTCTCCAAAATATGTAAGGTTACATGAGACTTATGAAGATGTTAAAGTGTATTTCAAACATCCATTAATTCAGAAAAACAATAATTTTGTACCTAAATTCTCAGTTGGCATACCATAATCTCTAAAATAATAGTTTCAATTCAATTATAATTAGCAGGTTGCAGACAATTCATTCTAAATGAAAGTAACATCAACACTGGGCAACTTGACAGTAAAAATCAGAAGAATATATTTATGGTAATTGTCTTTGGTTAATATATGCAAATTTTGAGAGAAATTATTTTCTCCCTCTTCAAGCATTAAAGCAAGAGGAGCCTTTTGAGTAGAATCCATTACAAAAAAATAAAATTCACAAAATAAAGCAAGGCCAAAGGGAGGAAGCATTTTACATACCTTACCGTTTGCAAAATCACACAACATCAGCAATAGGTTCAGTATATGTCTATATGCTTTGGGAAGCAGTTTTTGTATTGCCCAGCACCCTGTATTGCTGTTTCCACAAAGAACACTCTAAGGGAACTTTACTGAGCTGAAATTATTGTGAAACACAAAGCTTATGTATATTCTTCATTGTTTCTGAACACCCTAAAAATGAATACTGCCAAAAATGTGCTAAGTTCTAAGCACAGATTGGAGCAAACAATCCTTAGCACGCTTCAGACTCAACTCTTAGAAAAACTCTTTGATCACACTGCCCCACTCTGGCCAAAGACAGAAAACTGGGTTAGCCCTTGAAAAGAGTGTTCGTAACATCACATACAAATTCATGTAAAATGCCTTTCGTTAAAAGATAATGTTTTCCAAGAGGGCAAAGTATTCAGATATTTTATAATTTACTTTAAAATTTCAAGTAAATGTATCTTTTTCCCCTTAAATTAACAACGTACGAGGAAATGCTATTGTTAATACTATTTCCATAAAAACATCTATTACAATTCTTGCAAAAAATAACAAAGTATTACATTGATATATAATGCCATTTGCTATATACAAATGTAAATTTTAAAAGACTGAATTATTAAACTGAACTAACACGAATAGTTTATATTCATATAATATTCCTATTAGTTCAGTGTTTCACATGTGAATGGGAATACAAACTATTCATATTAGTTCCGATGGAAGAATTCAGCATGTGCTGTGAATAAGAAACACAGCACCGTAATTTTTGTAATTATTTTGTTTAAGATAAAAACAGAATATGATTAAAGTTGCTGACCCTCAGTTGCCAAAACAGCCACAGTGATGTTGAAAAGCAAGTCTAAGAAATTTATAAATTCCTAGTCACAGTAACTGTTTACTCCAAAGTCATTTGTCTGGACACAGTGGTTGAAAATAGTAAAAATAGTAACAAAGTTAACATATTGACCTTTTATTGTGTCAGACACCAGTCTAAGCTCTTTACATGTAATAATTCATTCATACTCATAACAGAACTATAATTTAGGCACTATTATTATCTCCATATCACAGATAAGTAGGGAAATAGAAAGGATTAGTAACTTGTTCAAGGTCACATGGCATAAATAAATGGTAGTTTTGGATTCAAATCCAGGTGGTCTGACACCAGCACCATGCCTCTTTCACTATGCTATATCCAGGGGAAATAAAGAACCATTTATCTTCCTCTTCTCAATGTATCTAACTATTATACTCTGAAAGAAGTGTGATGCTTTGTCCGTACTTCCATTATTAAGATCAAATCAAAAAAGTGTATGTTAATTAGTTGGGTATCACCCTAATATAAATAATAATAAAGTTAATACAAGCAAATCTTATGGGATATATCTGTATCTTTACAGCTATATGTGTTTCTGTATGGATGCAAATGAGAGAAGTATTAGAAATTTGAGATAACTAGCAACTGTTCATTTTTTCTGAGCCATAACTATTATAAATTATGTCAACTATAATCTTCATTTTTTTTAAGAATTAAGTGCCCAATTTCTGTATTTTTAAATTACCTGAATCTCTGTCCAGAGCTTCAACCCTGGTGACAAACTCCCCGGGATTTTGGTTTTCTTTCACTGAAGCTTCATACAGGTGCTGCTTAAACACTGGAGCTTCATCATTTACATCAAGAACAGTAATTGTCAAAGTCTGGGATGAAGAAAGTGCTGGTGTGCCATCATCCAGTGCCAGAACAATCAGAATGTGCTGAGTTTTCATTTCATAATCCAAAAGACAAGTTGTAGTTAGTAAGCCTGTTTTGAAAACGGAAGAAAAGCAACATGTAATGAATATTCTTTAGAGAAGTCATGCTTACTCCACTTATATCTAACTTGTCTACCTAATAAAAATTCAGATGTCTTAACTGCTAAAATATGAACTGCATTAAACCATCTTTAAATGTATATACTATCTACAATTAAAAGCAAACATTTTTAGCCAGAAAAGTCATCTCAATTTAAATTATATCAAACAAAATAATTCAAGAGTAATGTATGTTACGCAATTATCTACTGAGAGGACTACATTAAAATTATCTAGCCTACATCTACCTCCTTTTTAAAAAGTATCTAGGATACTAACAATATATATCTTCGTGTCACATAATACATCATGTACAAAAGCAACCAAGTTACAAAAATGTGGGTATGGCTATATTCTTTAAGACAGTTGATTTTTTGTTAAAGAGTTATGATCTCTTAATATTTATTCTCAGTTAACTGCATTTTTTTAACAATAAAGAGCAGGCCGGGTGTAGTGGCTCAGGCTGGGTGTGGTGGCTCACACCTGTATTCCCAGCACTTTGGGAGGCCAAAGTAGGGGGATCACTTGAGGTTAGGCATTCAAGACCAGCCTGGCCTACATGGTGAAACCCCGTCTCTACTAAAAACACAAAAAGTTAGCCAGACATGGTGACGGGCGCCTGTAATCTCAGTTTTTGGGAGGCTGAGGTAGGAGAATCACTGGAACCCAGGAGGCGGAAGCTGTAGTGAGCTGAGATCGCGCCACTGCACTCCAGCCCAGGTGGCAGAGCAAGACTCCATCTCAATTTAAAAAAAAAAAAAAAAAAAAAGAAGCAAAGATGTTATAACTCAGACAATACACTTCACAAGTAAAACATGTCTCTATCCCACTGCCACTGAAGCATGTAACCCATATAAGTCAGATGTAATAAAGACTGGCACACAGATAGCCGTTATATGATTCCAATTATCACATTTTTCTTTTAGGATTGCTGTTTGCTTCTCCCATTTTATAAGAATTTTTCATGAAATAATGAAAGAGGTTTACTGAATTCTATTTTACAAAATAATTTTTCAATAATTACTCATCACTTTATATTTCTCAGCCATAGTCACCAAAAAAAAAAAAAAAAAAGAGGTTGAGCCACTGCACTCCCACCTGGGCGACAGAGCAAGACTCCATCTCAGTCACCAAAAAAAAAAAAAAAAAAACTCACTGTCTTCTTGTAAGAAATATGAGCTTTGTGAGAGAAAAAAATCCCATCTCATGTGAATGCATTTGGCAATTATCATTTTATGTCTTCGAAAAACATCTCCATTGAAACAGTCACTGCAATTACTCAAGAGATTCATGATACCTATATTACCAAAACACAAGTCTAATTTTATCCATCCTTTTTAACAATCTGAAATATACCTTCCTTAGCCATCTTGGAACACATTCCAAGTATTACTGAAACAGGTCCTTGGAGAGCCTCAGCTCTGACAGATATCAGCAGCCTGTGTCTGGACTGTTTCTCTGTCAGTTGGGCATTTAGGTGGTGTCCACGCAAGCCTCAGAATGAAACCATATGTACAGGATTTAATAAATATTTTGATGAAATTTTCCAACAGAATATAGCCAGACTATAATCACGACTTCCAAATCCTCCACATTTAATTCCATTCCAAATAATGCTTTTAACTAACAGTTGGGCCAAATGGTGTATATCTGAGATTTTTTTCCAAGGTTCATGTAGAAATAACTTTATTTTTCAGTGAATAAGATGAGAGTTTATTAATTTTTCAATATCCCCTGAAAATCAGGTAGAAGGAGGTTCATTTTGAAAGTCACAAGACTGAAAATTTGTACATTTACTCTTCCATCAAACTACATAAAAAACATATAGTAGATGTTATCTAGCAACATGGTGACAGCAAGACAAGTGAAGTTGAGAGTGAGTGACATTTCTGCAGAGTACCTGACAGTGAATAAATGCTTCTTCAAAAAAAGAAATATTACAATTGATGTAAAAAGCAGGGGTCTTAATGTCCAAATGAATTCAGCCATAAAAAATATATATTATTTCCAATATTTACAAATACATATTTTTATAATCTCAAAGATAAATTTCCATACCAAAGTCTTTGAACAATGCTGTTGATTTGTCATACTGCTACCTGATTCACTATTGGTACTATATCCTACCCTGCAAGGACTCACAAAGGGGGCAAAGAAGTTTTCTGTTGTATATTCAGCCCATAGTGTCTGTTAGCTACAGAGCATAGTTAATATTAACAAACAGGACCATTAAAGTTGGTTCGTCAAATACAAACTCTGTGTCTATTCTATATATATATATA